GGCAGCACGGTGGGGTGGCCAGGGCCCGTCTTGGCCAGCTTTGCTGCATGGCCACCTTCGGTTCGGGCCACACTCATGACCACAGGGAGAGAGACGCCTGGTGACCAGCTGCTCCGCAGAGGAAAAAGCCACAACTCACTTAATTCACACAACAGTTAGGAAACAGGCAATAGCGTTACACCCTTTTGCAGCTGCACAAATGAGGAAGAGAGAATGGAAACTGGTTGCTTGAAATCACACAACTAAAAGGTGGGGAAAGTAGCCCTCTAACCTAAGTTCATTCTTCCAAATATCATACTGTTACCACTGATTATTTCTGTCCATTTAAAATGCAGGATCTAGCTATAATACCTTGAGACATTGTATGCATGTGTGTGAGTGTGGAAAACATTCCTACCGGGTAAACAAAGGAGTATATGACAGAAGATATAATATATGACAGACATAGTATGACAAAAGATGTAGGGGTATGGCAAAAGATGGATTTTCAGGTGATGATTAATATAATAAATACACACCAAAAAAAAAAAAAAGCCAGAAAAAGTCATTTAAATACATAGGACAAGGGCTAGGGACATACCTCAGTGACACAGCGCCTGCCTGACAAGCGCAAGGTCCTGAGTTTGATTCCCGGTACCAAAAAATAAATAAATACATGTATACATAGAACACTGACCTGAGTAAAATATGGAATGTTGCTCTGGTAAATTCCAACTTGCTGAATTCACAGAAAAAGGAGAAAAAAAGGTGTACATTACAGCAAGAATTACACCAAAAATATAACTGAGTGTATTCACAAATGACAAAATACTCAAGAGTGTGATGTCTTCCTGAGTTAGATCAAGAAAAACATGCTAGACAAAAATTATGTGTTGTACAGTTGAGCACCAATTTCTGTTCATCCTAAGGACAGACTCTAAAAGAATATAACGCTTGTCGGGAATTTACCCTTTGCTGTTTGAATTCAGGTATATTTTAGCCATCAGACAAATGCGCTCTAATTTTTCAAGTACTGCGGTCAGAAGCCAACCCTTATTCCTACTGTTGTTCTCCTCTGGGTAAGATGTCTTTGTTCTCCTCGGTTTACAGTGGTGTTAGTACCACTTGTCTTGCTCGGGTTCCACTGAGGATCAGGAAAACATGGGGTTCATGTCAGGTATTTCTTTCTCTCACTGACCACAGACACGTTCCACCTATTGTCCACCGCCTGAAGACAAGACAGGTCATGTACCTTTTGGGCTAATTTTGGAGCTGTTTCTGGTAGGACAGGAAGCCTGATCCTGTTTACCCTCATGGCTGCAGACAGAGGTGTTCGTAAGATTGCTTTTGAGCACAAGTGTATTGGATACTGCGTGTGAACTTCTTTGTGGGATAATGGTGTTGAGGGAAGAAGTGTAGTTCTACCTGATACTATATTTAAGAGAAAAACGGCAGAATCTCCTTGGATAGAAGTGGATTTGTTTACCTCTGCAACTTTCAGGAACTGTGTCAGTTTGGTTGTTCTTCCAAGGAACTTGATGTAAATATCCAAACTTTCCTTGCATTGGCTTCTCCTCATGTTAAAATACTTGTCTAAATGTAGAAAAATTTACCATATGAAGAAAGTCAGAAATGTCTTAGTGGACCTTGGTGAAAATAGGCTTTAATGTGTGATATATAAACATGGAAAGGCATGTTGATTCACTGGTAAATTTCCAGAAATATCAGTTAGCAATTATAAAAAATGGAAAAGTCCTATGGCTATTTTTATCTACACAAGCACTATCATATCTCATCATTTAAAATATATATTACCCTACAAAGATCTATTTTGAATCTATATATAGAAATAAAAGCTTTTTGCAAGTAAATTTTTTACCAAAATTTTATCCTTCTGATAAGCTTGAGTCATTTTAGGTAAATGGGTGCACCTCGAGACCACAGTTTTAAATGAAATAAATTGACACACAAGTTTAAATATCTCATGGTTTCTCTTGTGTGAGAAATCCAAAGGGGAAATAAGGAGCAGAACGGAGGAGAGAGCTGGGGAGCAGGAAGGACATGTTCGGATGGGAAGGGGAGCAAGGGAGGAGGCAGGGGAAGGAAGGGAAGAGAAAAGGGATTTTTAAAAAAGAGAATGGACTCTTTAGAAGCCACTTTGAAGATACCAAAGTATAGCACAACAACTCTTGATAATCTCCTACCTCTTTTGTCTCTAACGCACTATTATTTGTCTATTTGTTTTCCTGAGAAACTATTTTGTAGATAATAATATGTAAAACGATAACCATTGATAATTTCCTACCATTTTGTCTGTAATTTGCTAAGTCCCCCCTATTATTATGTTATCCTTCTTTTATTCTTTAAAATAAAAAAAAAGAGAGAATGGAAGGAAAAATGGAAACAAACCTTTTGTAAATGGGGAGGGGAAGAGGGGCTGAAGGGAGACGAGAGGAAGGACAAGAAAAGGAGGATCAAGGTATAACCTGCACAGGTACAGATTCCCTGTGACGAATGTGACCACTATGGATGGCAAATAGGTACTCATAAAAAATTTAAAAAGACGGAGAATCCTCCACAAGTAATGGTCATGCTTTATCGTACCTAGCAGATTAAGGATCCCTTCATTGTAGGCTGCGAAGAGACGAAGAGAATCTTTAAAGAGCAGCAGGAAAGCAGCATGTATTATACCATTAGTTAGTTCATCTGGATTTGCCTGGAAATTAAAAAGTAAAGCAATTACTCTAACAGTTAAAAATAAATCCTTCCCCCACCCACAGTTTAATCGTCATTTATCAATATTTTTAAAATGCTTTTTTAAAACTCTTACATTAAAATTAAGAAGAGCATCAAACTGGGTTTGAATAACTGGAAGTGTGTTTAGCAGCTCTTTGGTATTCATAGTTCTCATTACACCATTTGTCCTATAAAAGATGAAAGAAATTCATAAACATCAATAATTAAGAAGTTGAGAATCCCTGAGACATTAGCATCTTAAAATAGAGTTGTGTTTTTGACAAACTACAAAGCAGAACACACATGTTTCAGTATTCACTTGCAAACTAAAGATTTTACTTACCCTCTCTTGGTTTTCGTGATGTCAGATGCTATGAATCTATATGCGAGTGACTTTTCATTCAAGTACCGACTGTATCGTCTGATGAACGTTGACATACTATAGCCTAAAAACGAGATGTGCTGATTACTTCCAATGCAACCAAATTAACTAGGTACAATATGTCCATAAAGGCAAAGACTTAATCCACATTTATCCATATACAGCTAGAAAATTAAGCACAAAAGCTAGAATTCCTCTATTAGTCATCTCGTCTGATGTTCCTCAAGTATCCTGTTAAAGATGTTTCTATTTGATACCATCCTGTGATGTGGCATTGAACAGGGAAAGTGAGCTTCAACAGCTCCTTTCACAGGAAGGTACTGTAAATTCTCAGCATTTTCCTTACTAGCCCCAGCCCACTACCTCGTCCCCCTCCAGTCTCTCTCCACACAGCAAATGACCGCCCCTCCTGTTCATAGAGAAAGTGGAGAAAGGCCCTGGCAGAATTCAACATGTTGTCACCAATCTTCAAGCGTACCTTGATTCATTTATTCAATTTATTCATATAGTAAACAACTGCTGAGCACTCACTCCAAGCCAAGCCATCCTGTAGGTGCTGGAAGTTCAGCAGTAAATGAAACAAAGCAGAGAAAAATCTTTGCCCTCACAGGCCTTACATCCCAATAGGGATTGTCAGGAAGTAATGCAAAAGTAAAACCAGATGGTGAGAAGTGGAAACAGTAAAATGTGGTCAGAAAAGTGGCATAGGGATGCGCTGTGGCTTTTGGTAATCCACACAAGGCCTCAGTGAGTACATACCTAGAGCTCTCATTAACATTCCTATTGCTACCAAATAATATAGTTTGTTATTCCTAATAAGCACCCAAATATGTATTACATCAATGAATTTCGGGATTACTTCATAACATATACATCACACCACACCCTTCATAATTTAGAACCATTTTCTTAACTAAACATGGTTTCCTTCTTGCCACATAGAAATGTTTCCATCAAAGACTCATCTTACCTTCTATGACACTGTCATCCAGAAAGTTGTGCAAAGTGAACAAAGAGTTTCGAGATGCAAGGTGTTGGATAAAACGCTGTCAAACAAATGGGCCAAATTCTAAAATTAATTTCTGCACACAAGGAGAGTTCATTAAAGAGCACGATCATAGAAGACCGTGGTGTCATGAACTGACCTCTATTTATAGAAATAACTTTAAACTTAACCACTGAAGCTCATGTCAATGTACACTTTTCCCCAAAGACATTTTTTTGGGTTTCTGTTAGTTTTTGTTTTATTTTATTTTTTTGAGTCAGGGTCTCATTATGTAGTCCAGGCTGGCCTCAAACTCCTGGAGACCCGTCTGCCTCAGCCTCCTGAGTGCTGGGATTATAGGCCTACACTACCGCTCTCCATTCCCCCCAAGACATTTTGTCTAGCCAGAACCCCCCTTTGATACATCTGGGTTCCCCACTTCATAGAAACAACTGCTAAATTTTTGACATATTTGCCTCAAGACTATTTATATTTATTTTTTTATTTTTTTGTCTTTTTTTTGAGGCAGGGTCTCGCTATGCAGTTCAGGCTGGCCTTGAGCTCACTTTGTGCCCCAGGCTGGCCTCAAACTCACAACGATCCTCCTGCCTCAGCCTCCCGAGTGCTGGGATTACAGGCGTGCACCACCATGCCCGGCTCAACACTACTTTTAAAATAAGAGTAATAAAATATGACACTTAAGGCTAAAGTATTCCTTTCCTCATCCTCAAGATCCATTCCTTCTCCTATCTAGAAGTAACTGGCATCATAATTTTAATGTATTATCTTCATAGTCTGTTTTCTTTACAGTTCTAAGTATATTTGTTCAATGGGAAATATTATATTTTATTTTACATAAACGGCATTGTACTTAAAATGCCATTCTACAATTTGCTCCTGTATTAACACTGTTTCTAAGATTGAGCCTTGTTGGTTCACACCCGATTGGATTTGATGCTATGTGAGTCTCGGTGCTCTCTTCTCCAGAGGAAAGTCTGCAGCAGCCAGCAATTCACATAGCATTCACAGGGCATGTGAGTTCCGATTTCCTAAAAGTCTTCTCAATTCACAACACTGTCAGAAAGTTTAAATTTTGCTAATTTGAGCATATTATCAAATGATTATGAGATTTCATGGTTTTTTTGTGAACTCTGTTCATTTCTTTTGCTCATTAGCTCATTATTACCTTTTTGCTTCCAATTATATATTCTGATTAGCCACTAGTCTGTAATATATACGTTGGAAATAAATTTTTTAACTTTATGGTGTCTTTCCTACCCAAATATCATGAACATAGTACCCTACGTGTACCCATGTTTAAACGCGCATAATGTATAATAGCTAAATCTTGGAAACAGCCCATATGTCTATCAGCAGATGAATAGGGAGAGAAAATGTGGTATTTACACATGATGGAGTACTACTCTGCCACAAAGAAGGATGAGCTTGAGTCATCTGCAGGAAAATCGGTGCACCTTGCGACCATAATCTTAAGTGACAGAAATCAGACACACAAGTTTGAATATCACATTTTTTCTCTCGTGTGGGAAACCCAAAGAGTAAATAAGGAGCAGAACGGAGGAGAGATAGAGGGAGCAGGAAGGACAGAAGTCTTCTGCACTTGCGCATCTATGACCCTTTGCCTTAGAAGGATGGAAACAAGTACCGCAGGCATGCACCACCACACTCACCTCATCTCCATGCACCATGAGGTGATGTGTGGTAACCAGGGCTTTGAACACCACCACCCAGCTGCTGCTCCCAGTTTTCTCAGAAAGAACACTAGCCAGATGCTCAACACTCATATTTGTTTCATTTATGTACTGCGTTAGATCTAAATTAAAGACAGTGACAAACACACACAATACAGGCTGAGAATTTTCAGTTGACATCATGCAGCCTCCCCCAAAGTTAACATTCATTTCATTTTCCCATCCAATAATATGCAATGTATAAATACTTAAGTCATTTGTAGGAAAATAGGTCCACTTTGAGATCATAATGCTAAGTGAAATAAATGAGACGCACAAGCTTAAATATTGTACGGCACAGAAATGTTGCCGTGCCACTCTCAAAGCTATTCCACGGGCCCCCTCCTAGGAGGACCTATAAAGGACTGTACTAACTCGTACATGTCCCCATGTAAAAGGGTGGGGTGGGGTGGAGACTTCTAAGCGGCCTGGATTGTTATTCCACCACCTCTGTCTCCTATCTAAATCGTGTGAGTAACGTCTCGCTCTTCTGGTATTTGGTCTTCAAAACCATCCATCGCGCTTTTCGCTGCTCAATTTAGGGCTGCTTACTGTAATAGGAGTTCAAAGCGTCCCTCCTGCAGGGGACGGCGGGTACCGGGCTGGAGGTCAAGGCGCTGTCCTACCGTGTCTCCCCTACGCACACCGCGCTGGCTGTGCGCACCCCGACCGAGCCTCCTACTCACCGGCCAGGTGTTTCGCCTCTGGTTCCGTGGGCTCGTTGGTGGTCGCCCTGAGGGCAGCCTTGGACGCAGAGGATCCCATGTGTGCGTCGCTGACCGCCAGGCACGAGGGTGACGACCGCGAGGTCGGGTCCCAGATCCCCCTCTTCGTGCCCGACAGGGACCCGCACCTCCAACAGCGGACTGCAACTAACAGTTGTTAAGCATGAGGAGCCCCGGTGACGGTGACGGAAGAAAGGCCTGGCCTTTCAAGTGGTTCTCACCAGGCAACCTTTATTTCACGCAGCCTGACGCAGACCCCAGCGTTGTGAGCCGAAACCTGAACTTGGGAAGTGCTGAGTCTGGCGCCGACGCCGGAGAAGACAGCAGTGGGCATGAGACGGCAGATGAGGCTGCTAGGGTTCTCCGCGTTTCGGCGGGGCATCTCCAGTGTCAAAATTAATTTGCCAAAACAAAAATAATTTAAAGAATATTAATGATATTTTCTTCTGTGGAGTCTAATCTGCTGTCAATCCCACCCCGAACATGCTGTTTCCAATAGTTTGCATTTCTAGGAGTTCCATTAGGGTCTTTTTTTTTTTCCCATTTGGATCCTTTTGTGTCTTCCATTACTCTCTTCATTAAGTTCACATTTTTCTTTAACCCTCTGAAGATATTCATAATAGGTAGTTATAATGGCCATTTAAAAATGTGTGCTGATTTATTATCCTTGACATTTTGTGTTATGCTTCTACTGACGTTTTTTCATGTGTATCAATCACACTTTTCTGCTTCTTCCTATGCCTAGCAATTTCTGTTCAATGGCAGACATTTTAAATTTTGCTTTGGGAAGTATTCTGACATACGCCTTTGAAGAAAGTTGAAGTTTGTTTAGAAGGGCACATGCATTACTTTCAAATAACTTTTATCCTTCCAACACGTTTTAACAGCCTTATTGATATTTAATTAATACACCATTTTCCCATTTAGTGTACAAGCATTTATTAGTATATTTATATAGTTGTGCAACCATCAAGCTCAATTTATAACATTTTCATCACTTTCAAAAGAAAACCTTTCCCATTTAGCAGTCCATTTTTCTCTAAATCTCCCAGCCCTACACATCCAACAATTTGTTTCTGTCTCTCTAAATTTGTATATTCTGGGAATTTATACAAATGAAATCATACAATATGTGGCCCTTCAGGACATTTCTCACTTACACGATATATTTGAGGATCATTCATGTAACATGTATCAGTACTTCATCCCTTTTTATGGCTGAATAATGTTCCACTGTATGTGTAGACCACAACAGCTTAACTAGCTGTTCATTCTGTTCATAATTCTGTATTCCTATCAGCAGTGAATGAAGGTTCTAATTTCCCCACATCCTTGCTAACATTTGTTTTTGATTCTAGCCATCCTAGTAGATGAGAAGTATCTCAGTATGGTTTTCATTTGCATTTCTCTGATGACTGATGATTTTGAGCAACTTTTCATACGCTTATTAAAAATTTGTGTATTTGCTATGGAGAAATATCTGTTCCAATCCTTTGCTAATTTGGAATTATTTTATCTTATTTTATTAATTTTTTTTTCAGAGCTTAGGATTGAACCCAGGGCTTTGCAAATGCTAGGCAAAGCGCTCTACCACTAAGTTACATCCCCATCTCTACCCATTTTTAAATTTTGTTCTTTGTCTTCATTCATGACTTATAAGACTTGGATATGTTCTGAATTCGTGTCCTTTATAAAATATACAATTTGCAAATATTTTCTTTCCTTTTTACTTTTCACTTTCTTGATGGTGACCATTGAAGTAATTGTTTTTTATTTGACAGAATCCAATTTATCTATTTTTTTATGCTTTTGGCATCATATGTAAAGATCCATTGCCCAATCCTAGGTTATGAATATTTACTCCATGTTATTTTCTAAGACTTGTAGTTTTAGCTCTACATGTTAAGTCTATGACATATTTTGAGGAAACTTTGTGTGTATGATGTTGGGTAGGGGCGCAACTTCACTGGCTTTTTATTTGTCCTAAAATTATTTGTTGAACAAACTGTTTTTACTCCATTGAATGATTTTGGCACCCCTATAGAAAACCAATTGACCATCAATGTATAGGTTTATTTCTGGACTCCCAATTTGGTCTAAATGTCTAGCTCAGGCTGATATCACATGGTCCTATTTATTTTAGGCTTGTAGTAAGTTTTGAAATCAGGAAATGTTAGTCCTTGTAATGGGGTATTGTCTGTTTTTCTTTCTGGAAATGTCATTTTACCTTCATTTTTGAAGAATTATTTACTTAGATATAGATTTCTTCACTGACACTTTTTCTTCCAGCACTTTGAATATGTCATGTGCATTTTTTAGGATTATGTCCAATGAGACATGCAAAAGTGGTAGATGCACTAATGCTAGAACTGGATAAAAACAGCAGTAAAGGGAAGGAGAGGAAGGTCACATAAAAAGAATTAAGATATGTACATGTACATGTACCAACTCTTCATGATAAATGTAATCATTATGTACTAATAAAATTAAAATTAGAAAATAGCAGTAAAGAGAAAATTGAAATAGACTATAAAATTGTAGTTCCCTTTGTTTGCCCCAAATTTCCTTTATTATGTTAGTTTTGTACCTTTACAAGTTGGACATTTTAATTTTGTATTAGGAAAGCAATACATGCTCATTGTAGAACTTCAAGAACAGCTTACAGAGGAGTCCAAAGTGAAGAATAAGACTCTCTCTTCAGCCTCAGTGTCAAGCACCACAGGCAGTCGGTTATAATTGTCTCATGTGACATTTCTAGGTAAGTGGATGCATCTTGACACTATACTCTTAAGTAAAATAGGACACACATGTGTAAATGCCACATTGTTTCTCTAGTGTGAGAAACCAAAAGTGTAAATAATGGCCAAAACATGTAATCGATATTGTGACCCGGGAAGAACATATTCAAATGGGAAGGGGAACTAGGGAGGAGGAGGGGAAAAGGAAGGAAAGCAAAAGAAAAAAGTGAGGATAGAAGGAAAAGTAGAAACAAAGTTTTTGTAAATAAGGAGGGAAAGAGGGGTTGAAGGGAAGGTAGAGGAATGGGGAAAAAAATCAAGATATGTCATGTCCAGGTACAAATTCCCTATGATGAATATGATCGTTAGGTGTTGGGAGCGGCTGGAGCTGGAAATTGGTCATAGGTGTGAGGGCAGGATAGAGCCAGAGCGCCTCAAGCAGTCAAGCTACCTCAGTCTTGAGAAAAGCATCCTGCTAGGACAATCCAATTGTTAGTCGCTAGGCGACACTGCCTGTCTTGATACTAACTTTGCAGGAGTATAAATAAAGGCCCCTACTGTTGTTGTGCAGGTCCTCCTGCCCATCGGGTAAGAGGTCGCCTCCACCTGCCCAGCTCTTGTCTCTTGTCTATCTTTTCCTCCTAGCCACTGCCTTTCCTCCCCAGGGTACACTAAGAGACCGACGAGTTCCCTACAATTATGTATACCTGAAGTGTACCAATAAACTTAACTAATTTTTAAAAAATCATCTTTTATAGCCTTCCAGACATTGTACATGTATACATTGTATTAGATTTGATGGTCATTTGTTATAACTTTATCCAAATTTGGAAGCACAGCACAAAATGCCATGTAGCCTTCACCAGATTTAGGTGTTACATTTCACATATGTGTAGTGTGTGTGTGTGTGTGTGTGTGTGTGTGTAGCACAAGTATCCTTAGGGGTTTTCTAAACCATTTGAGAACAAGCTGCAAATATCCTGTCCCATCACCCCTAAGTGCTCTGGAGTATCATTCCTAAAGACAAGGACACTCTTTTTTCTGACTCCCACACTGTCAAGCAAAAGCATAACACAAGAGGGACTGGTCCAGTTTCTTATCTACTGGCCAGCAGGAGGGGAAGGAGCCAAAGGTTTCAGTTCTCTGTGTCTGCGTCCCATACACCAGACAGGACACCACCGGCGTAAGCAGGGTTAGATGACTGCTGCATCAGCTGTGGGACATTCCATTGCTGAGGAACAACTTCAGGACTACGGTTAGCAGTTTTACACTCTGTAGCTATACCCTGAGTAAGGCAGGGTAGAAAACATCATACTTCGGAAGAATTCTAAAAGAGACAGCCTTCAAGCGTACTTCACAACCCTCCCATCCTCTTGTGTTCCAGGAGGGTTACAAACCATCCTACCAACAGTCAGGCAAGTCATAATTCAAGCTTCGTTTGCATGGATACATGCATACAAGGTTGCAAGGGCACCATGGCAGACTCATTGTCTTTAATTCCACCCCTGGCTTTTCAAATTGAGCTAATTCTCAGCAACACAGGCCATTCCATCAAATGTACTCTAGTTAAGTGCTTATAGGGGCTTGTACCAAATATGTTCTATTTGTTTTAGGTAACATGGGACAAAAATGACTGTGACTATAATTCCCTGTTATTATGACTCCCAGCCCCACTTGGAGGATGCACTTTAGCCAGAGTACCCCCTGGGAGCCAAGCCAGATAAATATTTCGTGAATCAAAGAGAAGTAAGGCATGTTGACCGCTGCACATACCAGGTCTTGACTGCCCACCAGGAAGTCCAGGGCAATGTATTATTGTCTATTACCATTAATTCCAGAGTACAGAACAGTTTATATGTGGCAAGCTAATAATACAGGCCTGATATTCATGAAAGAAGTTGTAGCAACCCCAGCAGCACCAGTGTGCAGAGCTGGCATCAGGGGTCCAAATCTATTAAGTTTTTGTACAAAAGAGTTTTGTCAGTTTCTGGGAAGTTAATCTTGTTTTATCCTCTCAGGTGGAGATGAACTCCATGAGGCAGCAGCAGCTGGGTTATGCATAGAGAATCTCTGGCTTAAGATTCTTTCTTGCTCAGCCATAAATCTGAGAATGAAGTGGTGTTCTGGGTTAAATTATCCATATGTCCTGCAGCTCGAGCTGACAGAAAGGTTAGTGGTCCCTCCCTCAAATCCTGGCCTCCTGAGGACATTTCAAGTGTCACCAGCCAAGACCACCGAGCCTTTCTACAGCCGTGATTGGTGTGATCACGCTCTGCAGCATTCACCTCATCCTTTTCTGATCCTCTTGTCTCACCTCTGCTATGTGGGCTGCCAGGACCACCTTACGAACCACGACCTCTTAATCATTATCGTTAGTATCCATAATTACATAAATCCAACAAGCACAAGCAGGTGGCCAAAAGAGCACCAGGATAGACTCATCCAGTGTGACAGCTCATTGTAACGTAACAACTTGAAGGGATTAAGAAGTGCCTAGCAGATTAGTAGAACACAGTTCTGGGTGTGGGTGGCACCAAAGAAACTTGCACAGGACTGGGCAGCGGCAACAGTAGCAGCAGCGAGCTCCATGGAGCCTGGCAGCACTGAGTCTCCAGCGACCATGCTGGCTTCCGGTAGTGCATTCCAGCAGCCCTGAGGCTGAATGACCTCACCACACGCGCACTGCCCCAACTTGCCCATGTCTTGCTGCCTGGCATGGCGGTGGCTGTTGTCGGAACTGCCTCTAGATGAAGTTTATGCACAACCAGACGTGGGACTATGATCCCTAGGGCTTCAAGAAGTGGGCAGCATGTGCTGCGGC